GGGTTTGGGATGGGATGGTGGGATGGGGTTTGGGATTGGGATCGGGTTTCGGTTTGGGTGGGATGGTGATGGGTGGTGGGTTTGGGATGGGGTTTGGGATGGGGTTTGGGATCAGGATGATGTTTTGGATGGGGGTTTGGGTTTGGGATGAGGTTTGGGGTGGGGATGGGGTTTGGGATGGGGATGGAGGGGTCAGGACTGGGATGGGGATGTCAGAGGTAGGATGGGATGGGGATGCAGATGGGGATGGCGGGGCCAGGCCCGGGGATGGGATCGGGATGTGGGACGTGGATGCCGGGGCCGGGATGGGGTCGGGATGGGGATGGCAGGTTTAGGATGGGGCCGGGATGGGGATTTGGTCCTCGCTGATGGTGGGCAGCACCTCGCACATCATCCTGGCACCTGCGCCCGCCCGGGCGCACCTGGGCACACCTGGGAACACCTGGGCACACCTGGGGGGACACGGAGTGGGAGGGAATGTCAACAGGTGAACCGAGACTGGGTCCTTTGGGGGTCCTGACCCCACTCTGGGGGTCCTGAACCACTCTGGGGGTCCCAGCTGAAGGTGGGCAGCACTTCGCACATCATCCTGGCACCTGGGCACACCTGGGGGGACAGTGATGGGGAGAGAGATCAGGGACTGATCAAAGCCTGACCCACTCTGGGGGTCCTGACCCACTCTGGGGGTCCTGGCCTATCCTGGGGGTCCTGGCTGATGGTGGGCAGCACCTCGCACACCATCCTGGCACCTGCCTGCACCCGGGCACACCTGGGCACACCTGGGCACACCTGGGCACACCTGGGGGGACACGGAGTGGGAGGGATGTGAGGGGCTGGTACAAGATCGGGTGGTCTCGGGGTCGTGACCCACTCTGGGGGCCCTGGCTGAAGGTGGGCAGCACCTCGCACATCATCCTGGCACCGGCCTGCACCTGGGCACACCTGGGCACACCTGGGCACACCTGGGCACACCTGGGCACACCTGGGCACACCTGGGCACACCTGGGCACACCTGGGCACACCTGGGCACACCTGGGCACACCTGGGCACACCTGGGCACACCTGGCTGAGGGGATACGGGGTCAGTACCCAGGACTGCTCCAGTCCTGACCCATTTTGGGGGTGGGCAGCACCTCCCACATCATCCTGGGCACACCTGGGCACACCTGGGCACTGGGGGTTACTGGGGGTTACTGGGGTTTACTGGGGGGTGCAATGGGGCCATTCTGGGGGTGACTGGGCGTTACTGGGCGTTACTGGTGGTTACTGGGGGGTGCCATGGGAGGCACTGGGGGGCACTGGGGGGCACTGGGAGGTACTGGGGGGCACTGGGGTTACTGGGAGTTACTGGGCGTTACTGGGGGTTACTGAGGGTGCAATGG